CCTTTTTTTTTTTTTCTTTTGGTACTGAGGATCGAACTCAGGACCTTGAGGTTTCAAGGCAGGCAGCAGAAACACTGAGCTAAATCCCCGGCGCTTGCCCTTTTAAAAATATCTTGAGATACAGTTAGTTGCTCAGGTTAGCCTTGCACTTGGAATCTCCTGTCTCAGCCTCTTAAGTCTCTGGGATTACAGGTGTGTGTTGCACTGGCCATATTCCTATATTAAAGCCAAAAGCTGCCCCAGGGAAGTGACTACTCACACCCCAGGCAGGGTCCTCAACCTCACTGAGTTGTCTCTGCTTGGACCAACGACCTCTGGTTTCTTCAAAAGCTTGCCCTTGCTAATATCTCCCAGTCTGGGTCCTGGGTACTTGTACCTTTGTCCCCCTGTGAGCCCATCAGCCTCTTGCCCCACCACTGTCTACCTTAGGATATAGACCACCCTTCCATGCTCCTCTATCAGACAGTCAGGTACCCGACTGCTCTCTGAAAGCAGCCCAATGTTACATTCTTTCTGACCTTGCCCAGCTGCAGATCTGATTAGCCACCAAGTCCTACCAGTCCCCCTCTTCTGGAGCATACCCTCCACCCTATCCTGTGTCACTGGGCACTTTCTCACCCCAGGGTCTCTCCTTCACTCTGTGCAGTTTCCAGAGTTAATCTTTTAAAAGTCCCAGCTCTCCTGAGGAGGGTTTTCTGTTGAATCTGCCCAGGATCCCTGTTCAGACCCATCTCCACTGCTCCCCACAGCCCTGCTCCAGGCACCTTGCTCACTAACCATGTTCTTCAGTGTCTCTGCTGGAACAGCTCCAGTGGCTCCCTGTGTCTGCAAGGCTTTCCTTCTCCATCTCTCTACTCACCTTCCCAGCAGTCCTTAAGGAGCCCTAGTTCTGTGGCTACTATTGGTGACAGTAGCAACAGATATGAAACAAAGAGCTCTGTGAATATTATCTTGGGACCATGGATACGAGGTATTGTGCTCCCTGATCTACAACAGAGGGAAAAGGTAGGGCTGGGGATTTAGCATAGTGGTTCTGCCACCTGCCCCACAAGCGCAAGGACCCGAGTTCGATCGCTGGTACAAAAAAAAAAAAAAAGGTAGAGAGGTGGTCAGCCTGCTCCAAATCTTGTAGGTGGTAAAGCCAGGCTGGAAAGGTTGGTCTTGAAAAACCTGGTTGCTTCCTAGAGCAGTTGGATGGGGTTTCTCTGGCTTGGTGTGGTGTCCGGGGCTTAGTACTTTCTGTAGGCTGCTGTGAGTGTCAGTGATTTGTGCCTGAGTGGGAGCATCTCTGGTGGGCCATCTCTGGATTCCCAGCCATGCCTGACATGGAGTGGAGAACAGGAGGCGATGTGCTCCTTTATCGCCTCCCCAGCCTGGAGATCTTCTTATAGAGCTCCTTCTCCTACTCTACTCCCACAGACCTGACTTGAAGAGGACCACCTGGGGGCTGAGCAAAGTGGGGGCTGGGCCCCATGACTTCTGGAGTCAGGGAAGAAGGGGACTTTCCTGGTTCATCCTGCACCCTCTGCTCAGGAACCCAACAGTGCCTCAAACACTGGGGCTTTGTTGCTGATGCTGCCAGGGCCAGCAATCATTCTTGGCTTGTCTGTCCTGCACTGGTCAGTGTCCTCAAAGGCAACCTCCCTTCCCACCCTCCAATTTACTCAGCCTTCCTGTCTTTCTGTGTCTGCAGGGACATGGGACCTCTGTGTGATCTGGGATAGGCAGCTATTGGTGCCAGTTGTCTGGAACAGCCCCTGTTTGTTCCTGATAGTCCAGTGCAGTTATTAATTTCCCCTTCTACTCTGATAGTTGTCTTAGCAGGACAGTTAAGCTAGGTGGTCACTCCACACCAGGGTCCACTGGCCCAACTCGTGGTCAGTCCATCACTAACATGCTGAATGCCCCCCAGCAGACCACTTAACCTTTCTGAGACCTTGTTTGCCCACTTGAACAGTGGAGACAAGGCTCTCTGAGTGCCTTTGAAGTCCCCTGAGGGCCAGCGCTTTGGCCAAGGTGGGCCCAGGCCTGGGGGTTTGGGACTGACCTCTCACTGTGTGGGGAGTCACGTAGGGAGTCCACGGAGTCGTGGTAGGGTGGCACAGCGGCTCTGCACCGCTCCTCCAGGCTGTAGGCTGCCACTCGCCGAGCTCGGGCCTCCACACACGCAGGGCTGTTGCATTTGCTGGTGCCCACTGATGACAGCATGATGCCTGACTGGGAGTCAGAGGTCAGGCTCTCAGATCTTTCCAGGCTCCATGTGTGGCTCTCGTGTCTGGGGAAGCCAGATGAGACGAGGTGAGGGGTCAGGGTAGCCCAACAGGTATGGTTCATGGCCACCCCCTCCCTGGTTCTTCATCCTATCCTGGGCTCCCTTGGCTTACTGGCATTTCCACTGTGGGCTCATGGAGTATCATAAATGTACAACCCCAAGACTGGGAGAAGGAGGGCTGGGGTCCTGTGGATGGTGAGCCGCACTGTGCAGAGTCCTCTTCCTTTCCTCCCTGCAACTAACACCCCAGCCTTGTCCCAGAGTCCCTGCCTGCCTCGGACTCTTCTGCTGCCATGGTCCTTAGTTCCCACCTCAGGAGCCCAGCCCCCAGTGGTCTGTGTATGGGACCCTGACTACACCATGGTCTTCCTCAGGGAAGGAGGGCCCAGCCATGTTGTTTTTCCAGCTGTGTGACTTTTATGCTTGTGTGGACAGGCCACCCCAGTTCCGAAGAGAAAGCCCCGGCAGACTGATTTTTGTGGCAAATTCAGCAGAGGGTGTCAGATATCTCTGGACGCTTGAATGAAAGGACAGGAATCTACACGTTTCTGTGGGCCTTGGCGGTGCCCACCTGTGGCTGGAGGTCGGTGTGGCTGTGGAGCAATGGTGAGAAGGAGAACAGGAATGGCTCCCAGAGAAGGTGGTCTCAGTTTCCCTCCGGATGACGTGGTCTGTGGCTGGCACATTCTTGGAGATGTACTGGGGACAGAGAGACAGTTGGATAGGAGTTAGTGATGGGGACCATGTTGGCCCTCTTTTCCAGTGGGGAAGGGGAAGTGATGAATGCTGAGCTCTAGATTGGGAGGTGACCCACTAGATGAGAAGTGACCTGCTGCTGGGGCAGTGATGGCCCTAGCAAATCAGTCCCCCTCACTGGAGGTGAGGCCAGCTGTCCTGGTGTCAGTACCTAACAGGCTGGTGGTGGGATGGGCATACGAAGGCTGGATGTCCAGCAAGGGCTCAGAGGGGTGCCTGGGAACACCACTCACGTCTGCCATCTGGATCTCCTCAGGGTCCAGTCGGGGGTGGCTGGGCCCGTTGGCCAAGCTCCGGTTCTGGTGGGCTGGGCACATGTTCTGCCGGAGATGGTTGTGCATCTGCTTCCGCTGTTTTCTGCACAGAGGAAGGGCAGATGAGCTTGCATCTTCTCCCACAATGAACTTTCCTACATGTCCCTACAGGGAACCTGGGTGGCAAGGAACCCCACTGCTTTCTAGCTGTGTGACTCTGGGCAAGTTATGGAAACACTGCGTTTCACTTTCCCCTTTTGTAAAACCAATTCCAAAGACTAGTGACCATTAAAAGTATGTAAGCTGTTCATGCACGGTGCTGACACCCTCCCTCTCTTAATCCCTCCCTTCCTCATTCATTCATTCATTCATTTGGTATTTACTGAGTTTTTACTGTGTGCCAGACACTGCTTTGGAGCAAAGATAGACACGGTCCCTGCCTCCTATAGACTGCACGCCAGTAGGGAAAGCAGATGATAAACACATAAACAAAGAAGTGAAGTAGATATTTTCATTAAAGAAAATAAAACAAGGTGCTGTGACTAGGGAGCCAGGGCCCGTGGGATTATTTTATATTGGCACATTTTAAATGTTTGATAAATCTGTTTTATAAAAACAATTCTAATCATGTGACCCCTCTTGTCTAAAACCTGTCACTGGGCTCCATTCCCATTTCCCCTCCCAGCCCTCCCGAGAGTCTCTTGCTGCCCTCTCTCCACCCCAGCTTGCTGCATCCTTGGACAGCCTGTTTCTGACCCTCTGCCCTCTCTGACCTCAGGGGCAATGCACATGCTAGTCCTTGACCTGCACTTGCATCTCTGCCTCTTCATCTCCCAGGTCTCAGCCTAGATGCTGCTTCCACAGCAAAACACCTCCTTCCCTCTAGCTGAGGTGAGGAACCTCCAGAACATGCTGTGACATTGGACTGCTTGCTTAGGATGTTGGCTGTGTGCCTGGGGCAGGGCCTGGTGTCCAGCAGGGACTGAAAGAATGTGTGTTGAAATGAGTAAAAGCAGTGTGGGTCAGAATGCAGTAAATGGAGTGTGGCTTGTTTTCTCCATACTTCTTGAACTCAATTTTCCCTCTTGGGTCCAGTCCCCTCCTCTGAGTTCTCTGAGCCTCAATGCCGTCCTTACTCCCCACCAGCCTTTTGGTCCTGGACTCATCCAAGGTGAGGCCAGCAGGGCCTTGGATTGTACTTAGTCTGGACCCAGAGGTTCAGACCCCAAAGTGATGGCTATACCTAGACCCTTGGCCTCCAGATATAAACAAATATGACAAATATATTTTTCTGCACCATATCACTCTACAACCTTTGTTGGCTCCCTATTGCCTGCAAACTCCCTATCTTGGGCTCAAGGCCCTATGGCATCTGGGTCCCAGCTACCTTTTTAGCCTCTTGCCTCTCTCCCTTGATGCCTGCCCTTTGCTTCAGCTAGTCTGGGCTGCTCCTACTGCAGGCTGTGACTGCCCCCATCTGCTCTTGTCTTTCATCTAGAGCTGTTCTACCTGACTTGCCTGACTCCCCCAAGGTTCTGCTGCCCCCACAGCTCCCCCAGTGGCGGCCCAGCCTCACCTTCCTGTGCTCTTGTTTCAACTGCTCCCAGGGTGGGGCCAGGCAGGGCCTTTGAAGCACCTGCCTTTTCCGGGAATGCAACCTTTTTGGTGTTTCCCTCTTCCTCCCCAGTGCCTCCCACCACAGGGCATGTGCTCCTGGAGCCTGTGGGTTCAGCTATGTCCTCCTCTCAAGCCCTCACAGTGTCCTTTGAGGTGTACTCCAGGCTTATTCCCATGAGAGCTCTGAGAGTTTCCTGTTTGCTCAGGGTCACATGGGAAATGGCAGAGCTGGGGTTTGAACCCAGACCGACCTTCTTCCAAAGCCGGTGCCCATGACCCCCCTTTGTCCTGTCCTCTGGGACTGTCTTTCCTTCTCTGTCCCTGTTTCCCAGCCCAGCCCCTTAACCCCACAGCCGTTGAGACACAAGGCTGTGGGTGCTGAGGCTAGGCACAGTGAGGTGAAGAGTGTGTCCCTCACAAAAACATCTGGGAGGCCACCTCCCACACCCCCCCACACCCCGGCTTGTTCTGTCCCTGGCCTGAGAACCTGACACTTACTTGGTCTTGCAGTAGGCAACCACACAGACAATGCCCACGACCAGTAGAGCCACGCAGATGCCCGTGATGGTCAGGACCCTCTTCTGGTACAGCTCCTCAGCTTCTGCAGGGGCGGAGCAGACGTGAGGAGGTGGGGCAGGAGGAAGAGCCTGTGGGGTGCAGTTGTAGACACCCCTCCCCCAAGCCTAGGCTTTCTCAGCCCAGGTCCTTCCAGCTGTGTCCATCCCTTCCCTCTTGCCTGCTCCTGGACTCCCTTTTGCTTCCCCCCAACTGCCACCCAGCCTTGGACCCAGCCACGGCTCCCAGAACTGTGCCAGCCCTAAGCACGTGAGTAAAAATGCCGAGAATAGGAGGGGATGGAAGAGAGGTGAAGTTCCCAAGGCTACTAAGCAGGGGAGGGCAACCCAGCCTGGCCAGCCTCCTGCTCTGCTCCACGGTGGTCTGGCAGCTGCAAGGAACTCTGGTGGCTGGGAGAGTTGTTCTTCATGGCAGTGCACACAGATACCCTAGGCAAAGGCTGGCTTAGCCACTTCCCTTCCCTAAGAAGGGTTGGTGACACATCAGCCCCAGAGGCTAGACTTAGGAGGGATGCCAGGGCCATGAGCAGGTACAAGGAGACAGGGTCCAGGGAGGGTGTGGGAGACTCCTCAGCCTGGTCAGGTTTTGGCCCGGTCCACTGCACCCTCCTTTCTCTGCTTGTGAGAAGTCCAGCAGTGGCAGCACAGCAGCCTGGTGCCTAGAGCTGTCTTTGTGGGCCAAGAACAGCCCCTGCCTTTGCTGGAGAGATGAGTGAGGTTGGACTTGAAGCCCTCAGAAAGCCCTGACTCACCTCTCTACCCTCCATGCTTGGTAGGGCCAACCTGCCCCTCTAAAACAGAGAGCCAGGAGGATGGAAAGGAGAAGGGGATAGCACTGGCTATGGTCAAGGCTCCAACCCAGAGAGGCTACCCCATCCCACCTTCTGGCTGGCTCCTCCACCGTGCCTCCTCCTCCTGGCCCAGGGGTAAATTGAGGTGGGACTCTCATGCCTTGGTGGAGCCCTGGAAAATGTCCTGGACCCCAGGCTTGCAGCATCTCCCATGCACAGGCACACAGACCAGCAGCTCTATACACAGAACCTCCCGACATATGAACCTCAGTAACTGCTTGCCTGAGTCACAGACGTGCCCTTTCCAGACATTCACACACATACTGCACACAATCCAGTAGCTGTGCACACACATGCTCAAGAGACTGACCCACTGTCAGGTGGTGTCAACCAGATTGCCATCCCACGTCTCCATGTGGGCTCTGTGCCTGCAGACCTACTTTAGGCCTCCCTCTCCCCTTGCCACTGTTCAGTCCCCTCCAGTGCTTGGAGACCACTCTGGTCATGGTCACCGACAGCCTCCACATTGCCAAGTCTGTGGTCTCCTGACTTTCTTCTTTTGGTGCCCACTGTGTCTGGTCTTTGTGTGGTCAGTCACTTTCTCCCGGGCTTCCTTCTACTTGGAGGCTACTTTTTCTGCCTTAGTGGCTGCTTCCTTTTCTTCTGCTTGGGATAGAAGGTAGGAGGCCCCAGGACTCTCAGGCTTCTTTTTTTCTTCTACCTGCCCTGTCACCCTTAGAGATCTCATCCAGACGGACTTCAAATCCCAGCTGTAGGCATTCACTCTAGTTCTGTCTCTTGCCACGGCTTCTCCCTGAGTATCAGTCAGGGATCCAAGGGTTCTCCACCTCTTTCCACACTTGCTACCCTGCCTACCCCATCTCAGTAGCATAGCACCTGTTGTCCTGAAGCTCAGGCCCCAACATGGAGTCATTCTTTTTTTGGGGGGGGTACTGGGGATCAAACTCAGGACCTTGCGCTTTTAAATCCCTGGCCCCATGGACTCATTCTTGATCGGTCCCCTTCTTCCCACTTCCCCTGATACCCGATCCATCCATAAGTCCTCTCAGCTCCACCTTTCAAGTAGGTCTTGGATCTGACCATCATGATCATTTTTCTTTTTTTGGCTAGGAATTGAACCCTGTGTCTTTGCTCTAAGATACATCTCCAGCTCTGTTTTATTTTTTGTTTTGAGACAGGGTCTTGCTAGTTACCAGGCTGGATTCAAGCTTATGATTCTTGGGCGTCAGGCTCCCAGAGTGCTGGGATTACAGGTGTGTGCCACCATGCCTGGCTCATGATGGCCATTTCTATTGCTTCTAGCTTAGTCCAGGATGATGCCCCTCTCACCTGGAGATAGTCTCTTTCTGGTAGTACTTTTATTCCTCCTCACCCCACTCTAGCTATGGCTGTTGTCCACCCAAAGCTACATTTATTGACAACCGTAGAGCAGATCATTTTAGTCTTCTGCTTAGAAACTCACAGTGGCTTCCCTCGTAATCTGGTAAAACCCAAGGCCTTTCCATGTTCTCCAAGGCCCCTGATTACCTGATCCCAGCCTTCCTTTTGAATCTCATCTGTGGTCCTCTCCCCCATGTCCATGGGACTTGGGAGTCACTGGCAGTCTCTTTCCACTGAACAAGGCAACCTCCCTCCAACCACTTGATCCCTGTATTTGTGTGTCCCCTGCCTTCACCTCCCTCACTGCTTGCAGGGCTGACTATCAAAGCCTTCCTGGACCACATTAGCTCTCTACTGCAGCCAGGCACTAGCTCATGGCCTCACTTTATTTTCTGTATTTCACTTACACAGATGTTTTTCCTATTTGTTGCTGTCTCACCCATGAATGGGAGCGCAATGAGGGCAGGGATGTCATGTGACTGGTAGGTTCTGGTGTAGAGTAGATGTCTGTTGTGTAGGGAAGTAAGCACACACACACACACACACACACACACACACACTTTTTCAGATCCAGACACACATCTGCATATAACCACACTCACTCTGCACCTTGGCAGCCCCAACTATAAGCACTCAACACTTAGCCCAATGACATCCTATTCCCCCCAGCACACCCCCACTCTCTAGCTTTCTGCTCTGAGACCTACGTGTAAAGTGGACACATTGCCCATGCCCCAACACACACACATGCACAGACATGCAGATTCACCCCTCTGTTCCCTGCCACAATCACAGAGCTCACCCAGCCTCCACCTGCCCTCTCCACACCCCTGCAGCCTGCACACACAGACACTAACATGCAGACTTCGAGCCCTGACTTCCACTGAGAACAGCTGGGCCTCCCCAAACCTGCTGTGAGAACAGCCTTTGCATTTCTGCAGGCTCTGCCCCAAACCTGAGGCTCTGTCCCGTAGAAGCCCCCACCTCTGAGCCCTCCGTATCTCCTGCTGTGACATCTCCAGACACTTGAGGCCAGGGCAGAACCTCCCTGGAAACAGGTATAGAGCCAGAGATCTGGAAACACTGATCCTCAAAAAGTCCCTTCCAGCTCACAGAGTCCTCCAGGGGCCAGAGGGTATTTGGGGGGCCAAGGGATACTTGTAAGATTCCGAGCTGGGAGGCAAGGGACAGGCACCAGAGGCCAGCCCAACTCAGACCATTGGTGGTCTTTCTCACAGATGCACACACATGTCATCTTGGGGACAGGTTATGGAGTGACAGTCTCAGGCAGATGGCAAAGCCCAGCAGATAGACACAGGGCAGGGGCAGGGGTAGAGGCAAAGGGGAGTTATTAGCTACCAGACTGATGCAGATGAAAAATGATGGAAATGGAACTGAGAAAAGGAAACAGCAATAAAATTGGAAGAAAAAGGATGCCTCTCTGCACAGCTCCCCAAACCAGGCTTCTGTGGTTTCCCAATCCTGACCCTCCATGGGGCCTCCACAGGGCCTCATCTTTCTTCTGGAGGCCACTGGATGCAGGCCTCCTAGCAGTAGGTCTCCCCTATTCAAGGGGTTGCTACTGTGCATTGGTGGGGTACCTTGCTGTTCATGAGCTCTAGTCTGCCCCCAAATCAACATAGTTTGTGCTGGGACATCTTGATGAGGTGAGGGGCGATTTTTAGAATCATCTTCTTTCAGTTTTTAGGAAGGAAACCAAACATTCAGCACCCAGGGAGTCAGAGACTGTGGGGAGAAGTGCTGTGCAGAAGGCATGGAGTGATACATAGAGGTTCCGTACCCTTTAATTCAAATCCAAGGTGCTCTGGCAGTGCAGAAGAGAGGAGGGTGAGGGGGGATGAGGTGGAGGGAGAGAGACAAGGAGAGGGGGAGAACGGGGGAGAGAAGGAAAGAGAGAGAAACGTTGGTCAGGACTCTTCAGACACCGGGCAGCCAGCCTGTGAGGTGAAAGCAGGTTAGTAGTGTCCCCTCCCAGCCTCTTGAGCTCCTTCCCTGGTGCCCAGTCCCCAAGAGCCCCAAGAGGGATAGAGAGAGGCAGTGTTAGAATCCGCAGGCAGGGAAGGCTCTTTAGAGATGAGCAGTGGGTTAGTACTTGGGCGTGGGGAAGGGAAGCACAGGCGCAAGAGTCAGTTGGCAAATGTTCCCTGGAGGAAAGGGCTACAGGGTATGGGAGCAAGAAGTGCCCTGTCCACTCCTCCTAGCTCCAGCACCAGCCCTTTAGCACTCTCAAACCTTCCCAGAGACAGCCTACCTGGCTCACTCATGGGGCCCTTTCTTCTGTGTAGAAAGAGGGAGTGAGCTCCCCAGACTGGCCAGGTGTCCATGCCCTGCCCCTGGGCCTAGCTGGCCTGCCCATCTCCTAGGATCCTGGGCAACTGGGGGAGCAGGAACCTGAAGAGGTGGAGACTCCAGGAGCAGGTTACTTCTGCATTAGACCCCCCAACCCTACAGGGGGTGGCTGATGGGCCCCAAGCTTGAGCTTACTATTTAGAAGACCATAACGCAACTTGAAGAATGAGAAGAGTGTCGGTTCACCTAAGAACTCCTCACACAGCCGACAAATTCATTTCAGGATGTGAAATGTGGGATTTCAGGGCTCTGTTGGGTAGACACCCACACCACTGAGAGGTTAGATAAAGGCTCTGGCCCAGGGGCCAGCTTTGCCACTGAAATGCTATGTGGTCCCAAGTGATAGTCAAACTATCTAGGTCTCCATGTCTTAACTGTTAAATGAGGATCAGGCTGGGTCATGGGATCCTGGGAAGTTTGCAAACTTGGAATCATCTAAACAAATCAGGCTTGGGAGCCCCGAAATCTCAATGGTATTTTTTAAAAGCTCACCTCCCAATCTAAGGTACAGTGGGCAACAGTCTACAGGTCTGAGTCTCAGTTTTATTCCTAATTTGCTCAGTGAATGCGGGCAAGCTATAGTTTCTGTTGCCTGTTTTGTTGAAAATGCCCATACACTGTCAGAGTAGATGTGAGCAAGGCCTAATGGCAGGAGGCTCAGCACATCATGCAAGGGCATCACTCTGCTGGCCTGGATTTGCTCCCTCTCTGCCTTCACAGAAGCATAGTCAGTTTGGCTAGACCTGGGTGGGCACAACATTGTGTGTGATGTATTCATGTGCCACAAAGGAAGGGGAGCCTAGGCAAACAGCAGGATGTCCTGAGCATTATCCATCCCTGGATCTCTCTCTCTCTGCCTCCTGAAAGGGATTCTAGAGAGTTCTACATTTGGCAAAGGGCAGAAGAGCAGAATGGCTCTAAGCCAGGGAGCAAGGTGGTTCTGACTCTAAGAGCCTTGTGGCGGATCCCCCTGCCCCCTGCCAGTTCTGTGCAGAGACCACACCAAAGAAGTATTGATATTGATCCTAGCTTTCCAAACAGGAGCTCTTTGTCTCCTCCTTTGCCATCTTTGAAGTTTTGTTTGGAAGTAGGAGAAAGTCACCCGAAGTACAGTCTGTTCACTCCCAGGGCCCTCTGGAGGTGGCTAGCCATGCCCAGTAGATGAACAAACTTGACAGACTCAAAAGGTCTCAGGTCAGTGCATGGAGTATTTAATCCTGGAGCCCAGGGGACCCTCCAGGCAGCTCAAAGGCACTCACATTGTTTGAGTAGTCACCCATGCTCCCCTGAGAGAGAACAGCCCAGCATGACCATAGCACACAAGATACTAAGAGCTGGGCTGCACCCTACTTTTAGCCAAGGTTGTTATATTGTATGAGGCATCTGGGGGCTAGTGGTGCCAGTACACTTTTTCAAGGCCATACAGGAAATCCAGAGGCAGAGAGAGACTGGAGGCCAGATCTCTAGTCTCTCGGAGGCTAAGCTATGGCTAGTCCTCTCCTTTTAGTAATAGGGCAGGCCAAACTGGCTGTTTCTGGGAACAATGGCCACTTGGAGAAGAAAGCAAAGGCTCCTGAAGCCCTTTGAGAGTTTTCTTCTGTCTCCCATCTGGGAACCAATCTTAGTAGTAGCAGCTTCCAGGGTTCCTGATGGTGTATTCTCTGAGTCAAAGGCTAGTACTGTTTAGGGTGGACCAGTGGTGGCTGGCATACTTAGTGAGGTCACTGAAAGGCCTGGCCAGTCACCAGGTAAGCAGCCTTTTCCCTGCAAGCCTGGGGATGGATTCTTAGAGGCTTATGGCTGTGTCTGCCCCAGTAAAGAAAGCAGTCTCCTACTCATGTTCACTGGATGCCACTCAGCCACGATAAGTCATGGGAAGGTCCTATTGGACATAAATTTGCATATTAACCAGCAACCATGGCAACTTGAAGCTAGATTCCCAGCAAGGCCAGGCTTCCCAGGTAGTATGTACATTCTTCATCCATGACACATATGCATAAGGAGCCCAGACAAGGAGGCAACAATATGTGTACAAATGTGAGCATGTTCCTGTGTTTGTGTGTGTGTGCTTATATCTGTGCATGTGTGCAAGCATGTCAGCCCACACCCATGTATTATGTGTGTGTGAGGGTGTGTGCACTTAAGCTCCTGTGTTTGTATTGGTGCATGCAGAAGCAAGTGCATGCTGATGTGTTTGTACATGTGTGTGCAGGCATGCATATGGATTCACATGGGGGTGTACAGATAGAGCGGGGATGTCAGTAGAAGAAGGAGCTTCAAAGTGCTATTGGGATCACAGGCTCCATTTCCATAGTCTCTGCAAAAATCCTGGTGTTAAGGTGGTTTGGGTGGGCTGCTAAGGTCAGATGCTTTGCTGGGAATGCTGGGAGGCAGCCTCGAGGGGGATGATGCTCCCTCAGCCCTCCCCAATGCCAGCTGTAGCTGGGACAGGTATTAAATTGTACTCTAGTGACAATGGCAGGTGCTCTGCTGAGATCTTCATATGCATCACTTGATTTCATCCTCCTAGCAACCCTACTGGCACAAAAGTAATCCTCATCTTACAAATGAGAAAACAAATCCGGAGAATTAAAGAAGACCCCAGAACTAGTAAGCTGGGCAACTAACAATTTTTTTCCTGGTCTCTTGGAACCAGAAGCTGGCAACTTAGCGAGCACAGTACACTGCCTCTGCAGTCATTATCTGCTAGAGCCGCACATGAAGGGCTCTCTGGGAAAGTGCTTTAAGAGCATGAGTCCTTTACAGAAAGGTAACAATAATTGTACTGGCAACACAGATGAGAAGGCCAGGGGCGGGGCTGAGGGTTGCATTTGCAGACTCTTTTTTGGGCTCCTGGGTAGACCTTCCCAGCAGAGCTGAGCTGAAAGCTGAAATAGCCCAGCTGGCAGAGAGGCCTTGGACAGCCTCCCAAATGCTGGAGGTTCTGCTGCTGTAATTCGGGACAGGCCAGGACTGCCTGTCCAGAACAGTCCCACAAGGCAGAGAGGCTTTCCGCCAAAGGGTAGAAGGAACATGGGCCCAACTGCCTTTCTCCACCTGGCCCATGCTCACCTGGCTGTTCTACCTCCTCTCGAGGCTACTCTTGCCCTACAGTTCTCCATGTAGCCTGGATCTGGTTCTGAAATTCTTCCAGAGCCTAGGCTCTAGAGAATTCTTTTGGGCCACATACCCTTTCCACAGGCCCTTATCCCTACACCCTGCCTCCTTGCCTCTTCTCTCCTTAATGGAGGGGCCTGAGCAGAATGCTGCTTTCTACATTTTGAAGACACGGTGTCCATCTGGGCCCACCAGCCCCCACCCATGAAGGCTCCTATGACTGGCTCAGGTTTAAGAGTACATCTCTGGGGTTTTGTGCAGGCATCTGAGGAGGACTGGGAAGGTTCATTTCTACATCCTGTGACCCAAACCACATAAGCTATTAAAAAGACCCTGAATCCCACTTTAGCATTTCCTAGAGTTCTTCCTCCCAATATCCAGGTATCAGTTAAATGCTCTGGTTCCTAACTCCTGGGAGTTAGGGGGACCCAGCTGTCCACTCTGGAAAGGAGGAGGTGGGGGATGGGCAGGGGCCTAGTTTGTTCTGTAGGATGGGACAGATGACATGGTTTGGGCCTGGCAGGCCAAGAGACCACTGGGCTCCAAACCAAGTCCTAAACCAAGCCAGCGGCCTTTTGCTCCGCTCCACTACCACCTGCTGGTGCTTGAAGGAACTGCTCCCAGGCCCTAACGTAAGCACCTCACAATTATGGCTGTATCCCTGGGATGCAGGGCTTTTTTTTTTTTTTTTTTTTTCCTAAACTGTGTAAACCAGAGACCTCTGACTTCAGAAGTGGGAAAAGGAAGAAAATGAAATCCAAGATGGGGATTCACACCAGAGAGGTCCTGGCAAGAGTCACCAATTACCTGTTGGTTTTTCATCCCCTCTATCTTTTAGCATCAGCAGCAACTCCCAGCCACACAAATGTAGCCACACAAATGTCTCTGGTACCCATGGAAATCATTGTGCTGTGTTCTGCTCTCCCTCAACTTTCCTCTGGGCCCTGAACCCCAAACCAATCACACTTTGGCTAGACCAGAAGACAGGTTTTTTGAGACTGTTTTCTCTCTCTCAAATATACCAACATATACATACACACCTTCCCTGCTTGGCCTCATCAGAAGCCTGACACCTTCAAACAGCCTTCTGAGGCAGGGGAAGGCTCTGCAAATGGCTCTTCCCATTCTGGCCAGGCTGCCTGACCCTAGAAGTGGGGAAGAGGCCTGTATGTGACTGCATAGAGAGGGAGAACTCAGCATTATTGTGCCCAGGCGGTATAGTATAGTTAACGTATTGGGTAGGGGTGTGTGTGTGTCTGTGTGTGTGTGTGTGTGTGTATTGGTCTCCTCTGCATGGGATTCTGGTGAGCACTTGGGATTGAAAGGAGCCCAGGACACCCCCGTTTCCCCCCCAGTCTTAACAAGAAAAGCCCCATCCCTCCCACAGGGTAAGACTGCCAGTCACCAGGGAAGAGAAGAAATAGAAGAAAGAGACATACTGGAGAAGTTGACCATTGCGAACTGCTGACACCTGTCCCCGGTGTATCCCACAGGACACCTACCAAAAGAAAGAAAACCAGAAAGAGAGAGCCAGGATAGCAAGACACAGGCATTGCAACACCCCGGCACAGGCTCCTGCCAATGCCAGCTGGGTTTCTTGCCACCGTTACCATTTGTACTGATCTTGCCACTCTGCCCCTTACCTGCAGCCCTGAACTTTAAACCCAAGGATTAGGCCAAAAATGAAAAACAAAGCAAAACAAAACAAAACAAAAGAACTAACAAACCAAAATACGAAAAAGAAAAGAGAAACAAAACAAAACAGCCAAAGATCAAAACAACCAACACCCCTGGCCCTAGGCCCTACATTGGGGGGACTGCACCCAGAAGCTTTCTAAGGAGCAGGGACTTGTGTTTGTATCTTCAAACATACTTTGCTTAGGATCTGGCATGTACAATCGCAAAGGCAGTTTCTCCAAACATCTCTGTCCGAAGAATCCGTTTGGACATCTGGAGAAGGAAAAGGGGAAAAATCACAGAACAAACTGGCATCATCCGCGAGGCTAAGGTTAGAAATCAAAGTGCACAGTGATGAATGAGAAAAACCAAGTCAGGCACTTGGGGTAACACTTGTAGCTGGAGGGGCTGGAGCAGGGGCTGGGTGGAGGGCTCTGAAATCTCACAAATCTCTCTAATAGATGTGGCTCCGTGGGTGTGGGGAAGGTGGGGTGGGGCAGGGAGGAGGATGATTTAGGGAAGTGGGGGTGGGGTGAGAGGTATTGACTAATTGAACTACTGGTCATGGAGCTTTCCTTCTTACCTGCCTGGTGCCCCAGAAGCCAGAACTGTAGCCCCTTGGTGCCAGGCAGTTAGCCATAAAGGGATACCAAGTTCTTGGGAGCCACTCCTTTTAGGCTCTGTTGAAGGATTCTCTCCTGTGCCCTGGGCAGCTTTTCTTATTCATGAAACATCCCCCAGAAAGCTCAAAGCAGAACTCTGGAAGGCTGTTCCCAGACTGTGTGCCCATGACAAAAGTGACCTAGGAGATGTTTGATCTGTTCTCTCAGAGATTTTGTGGCCAAATAAGTTTAGGGAATCCCTTCCCAGGGCTCTTTATAGAGCTGCAGTCTACATTAGCATATGAAAGTCTGTGGAAAGTTTTATAGAAAGAAAATAGTTGAAAATTCCAATATGTCTCAAATTTATTTGAACGTGGAAGGTGTATTTTAGAGGAATTCTGTAGAACACCGTTTGGGGAAGGCTCCTCTAGAGTAATAGACATGGGGAAAGCTTAGTAGGGCAAGAGAAAGCTGGAGAGGAGCTGAAATTACCAGGGAGCCAGCCGGGGCTCTCCTGCCCTTTCCCTGTGACTTGCTCTTCTTCGAGGGCCTGGCTCTGCCCTGCACCTTTCTCCCATCTTGGCTTCCTTGGAGTTCCAAGGCACCCCCCACTCCCATCTCCCTGACCTTATTCCCAAGGTACACTTCCTTCTGCTCTCTGGCTGCCACTTCTCCCTTCAAGGAAGTCTTTGTCTTGCAGATTTCTGGGAGACATGCCCAGACCTGTTACTCTTCTGAACCACAGCAAGGCCAGCTAGATAAGGAGAAGCTTATGGACAGGGCTGGCCTGACCCCTTCCCCACATCTCCCTACTCAAAGGGTCTGTGTTGCCTTGGCCTGTTCTTCTCTAGGAAGCTAGGTAAGCCCATCACCAGTGTCCCCTCAATAACAGGCCACTGTTCAACACTAATCAACCTAACCTTTCCCAAGAGGTAAAAGTGCTCTGCCCATTAGCCTTCTAGTGTATACAAGCAGCAGTAAGGCCCTTGTACTTAACAGTGAGAGGTGACCGTTGGCTGTGACAGATACTCATGAAAACCCTGTGACCTCAAACCTAGGAAGTGGGGAATGAAAATGATTGGTGGGCAGAGAGCTGTGGACCTCAGTGGTGTCTCCAGAGGGGAGAAAGGAGAAAGGGTCACTGCAGGGTGAGAGTGTGCATGCAGTATACCTGCCCAGTGTGGGATGAGGGCTGAGCAATATCTGGGGAAAGTGGTGGTGACAGTTTCAAGGAGGGGTTCCCTCATCAATCCGTCCCTTGATCCCTGACCTTGTCCCTAATCATCTCAGCCCAGGAAGACGGAGGGAGTGGCTAAGGTTTCCCAGACACCTCCAGCCAGGCTCACCTCCTCTTCCTCTGTGCTTGGACACTGATGTAGGGAATGAGGACAGAGGGGGAGAATGATTTTTCAAACAGAAGCACCTTTGGTGGTGGAGGATCAAGACCCAGAAGTTATCAACATGACTCTTGGAATCCACAAAGGAGTAAGAAAGAGATAGGTTTGACTTTGTCCAGTGTCTGGGGTTAGTCTGACTCTTGGATGACCCAAGATGGGAAATTTGTGTGCGTGTGCGTGTGCGTGTGTGTGTGTGTGAAAAAGAGAGAATAGGGGAGTGCAGGGGCAGGAAGTGACAAAGCACAATTTATTTCCATTGCTGACAAGCTGGACTGCTGTCTTATGATCCTTGGAGACCAATGACAACTAAACACATCCCTGTGTCCCTGAGTTCACACCCAATGTGCCCTCTTCTGACCTGTTCTGAGCATCCTCATATCTTTTTTTTTTTGGTACTGGGGATTGAACTCGGGTTCTTGCGCTTGCGCAGCAGGCAGCGAAACCGCTGAGCTAAATCCCCAGCCCCTCTCATATCTTTTATGGCCGATGAATTGCACAACTCCAGAAGGCACCATTGACACCATCCACAATACAAGGGTGCCCCTGAAATTGTGCATCATTCTGGAGCTAGCCTTCCTTTCTTGAGAGAGTGTGGACTTCCTGCTGAACAAGGAAACGTCTTGGGGGATGGGCGGAGTGAGGGGTGGGGAGGACTGGGAGCTGGTGCTGTTCTTTGAGAACACTATCTCCTTCCAGGGGCTCCCAGATAATCCTATCCTATTTTTTCTCCTTTCTCCTGCTTGTTGAGGCTGGGGTTTCCTTAGGGGTCACTCTAGGAGTGGGCTGGGCCTTTGGTCTCTCTAACCTGCCCCCAAGACCAGGGTAATAGAGTCCAGGGTGCATTCACCCATCAACCAGGGTGGGAGTCTGAACTCAGCATGGATAGCTGGCTGGTGGCTGTGGTTCCCATTCAAACTCTGAATTTCAGGGGCAAGGGGACAGATCAAAAGGAGCAGTGAGCAGTAGCCTTCCCAGCTCTTCCTGCTAAGTCATCAGCTATGACTCTGGGAAGGTCTGTACCCAGGGCTGGAGAAGAGCAGGGATAAGAGAGGGGGCAGAGAGGAGAGCCCATGGGCTGCATCTGGGGTGACAGAGAGGTCAGGACCTCTGCGTTCCCCCTTTCCCACCCTGCCTCCCGGGCCTCAGTTTCTCCTTTTGGTAGCCTGGGGATAATGCCATGTGTGCTGCCCTCACCCAGGGGGGGAGGAAAGGATGAAAGATGAGGGTGTGCCCCAGGCACTGGAAGGAGTGAGGGCTTCAGAGTTCATGGAGGGCAGGTGGAGATGTGGTGAGGATGAGCAGGCAGATGGAGGTGGGATGGGGGGGTGCCTGAACATGGTGGGCTGGGGGAGCGGGGCGGGCATGAGCTGATGGGAGAGGGAGGCATGCACTGGTATGTGCACAGGGCTGGAAAGAGAGTCTTGTTCTGTCATCATCCCCTGAACCAGTCCCCAAGAGTCACGCACCAACCGTGCTCAACAAACACACGGAGAGAAGAGGAGAAAGCAGCGAGAGGAAGTGTGGAGGCCCCTGTCTGGCCCAGACAGGAGACAGTCATCTTGATTTGGACTCCCATTTTCAGATCCCCTTAAGTTTTCTTTCTTTCTTTCTTTTTTTTTTTTAAAAAAACAAAAACAAAAACAAAATTCAGTATCAGTGACACTGTTTCTTTTGGCACTGAATTCTAGAAAAACGGGAGGGTTACGGAGTGTGCCTGCTTTCCAACACTCCCTGCAGGGCTCTGAACCAATACACAACAACAAGTGTAAGAAACCAGGAAGGAAAACTGAGTTTTATAGAAACTGGAATGAAACTGACCAGTGTAGTTTCATTATCCAAGCTAAGCGGAAATGCAAAAAAATCAAAATAAAAAGTAAACAAACAGCACAAATGGTAAGACGTGAGTTCCGTTTCCTAATTTCTTTCCTTTTTATTCCATTCAGGTGTCAGCAGGAACCCAGAGAGGCCTTCCCCCTTCCCTCCCGGCTCACCCACCACCAGAATGGCCTCTGGGCTCTGCCCAGTCCCCTCCCCCCTGCCCTTCTCCAGCACAGCTCTGAGGACTGAAGTCCCCACCAGGGATGTCCCTTTCCCCTGCAGGCCAACAATGGGAGTCAGGAAAGTCAGTTTCAGGAGCCCTGACTGGGGCTGACCTGGGGCGCTGAGATGGAAGGTAGCGGCTCTGTCTGGATAGAAAGCTCAGGTTCTAAGCAGTGAAGCCAGTTGTCCCAGTGGGGAGGGGAAACAGCACCTACCATTTTCACAAGGGCTCATCTCCTGGGCTCTGCTTCTCTTAGATTTAACCAGGCAGGACCCAGGCTCCTAGGGGTGCAGCCTTGCTGGCAGGGCCCACTGAGAGCCCACGTATCTCATCCATTCTTTTCCTGCACAGAACTCTAGCCTGGAGCCCAGCCCCCCAGGGCCCTCCACAGCCCTGGCATCTGTCCTGAGGGACTGAGCCTTTTCTTCCTGGAGCCAGGGATGATTTTAGTGACACTGCTGAATGCTTTCAAGGGTCAGGGACTCAAGGGGCTAGGGAAGAGGAGAGGCCTGATGTGGGAGACAAAGAAAAGGGGACTGGGCCATTTCTGTGAGGGATTCCAGGACCCTTATGAGTCTGTGGCAAGTCTGTTCCAAAGAGCTCAGAGCATTTTCAAGGCTCAAATGTTCCCCAGGGTCTGTAACACGAAAGTGGCCCTTAGAGGCAGAAGCAGGGAAAGACTGAGGTCAGGGTGAGAGCTTCCCTGGAGTACCTGTTGTTCTGGGCCTGGCCCTTAAGGTTTGGAATGGGGGAGGAGGGGAGGGGATGGTGGCAGGTGAAGGGTGGGACCAGGGAGGAAGCAGCCAAGGAGGGCAGCTGGGGCCAGAGCCACAGTCGTGCCTAGCAGTGCAGCTAAGCTGCCCTGCACTGAGGGTGAGTGTGCAGGCGCAGCCTCTTGTGACCTGTCTTTTGGTGGCGGGGTCTTTAAATCTCCTGGCCTCCTTGCCAGGCCCACATTCCTAGGAAAGGCTACAGCCAGGAAGGGGGATGCCGTTCCAGCCTGGGAGCCCAGAGGCAGGAGAGCCAGAAGGGCTGAGTCTGATCTTGTCTGCGGGGAGCTCAAACCCCTCTCGCTGTATCTCCACCAGGACTTTGGTGGCCTTTGCCAAGATGCCAAGGGCACAGGGCAGCTTTGGCACCCCACCAGGGCCCTAGGCTTGAGCTGCTTTGAAAACCCTGAGTCATTTACTTGGTGCCTTTCTCACTCCTTCTCCTCCTCACATGTCCACTGTAGAATCTGTCCAGGGGCCCTGGGGCCAGCTGCCCAGAACATCCACTGGGCCTGGACAAGCTCTCCTGACTACCGTTCTCCCACTTGCCTATCTGCTACCAGGAGTATGCAGTTCTGAGCTCCTAGGAGTTCCTGCTTGGGTCAACCCTGACCTCCTCCATTGGGCCACACCCAAAGCAGGGTCCTCGCTGGCACTTCACTCTGTGGAAGGGGACTAGGGGCTAAGAGGCACAGCACCTAGAGCACACTGGGACACTAGGTCCTGTAGGCCAGGGAGATCGGCCAGATCTGAGGTCAGCACAGGGTTCTGGAATACCCCTCTTCTTCCCTCAAGACTGCAGGAGTGGGGCCCTGAGGTGCCAAGAGCTCTGGGGTCCATGACCTGCCTGACCTGCCAGGCTTCTCAGTGCAAGGGGAGATGCAGCTTGGGACATGTCCACCCAGAACAAATTTAGAGAGTTGCTAATAGATGGGAAGGAAAGGGAGAGATAGATATAAAAATAGAGAGATAGAGAGAAAGAGAGACAGAGATATAGAGACAGAAAGACAGAGAAAAAGCCCAGTGTCTTAGACTGGCATCTCTATGTCCCTCTGGGGTGTTGATGAGAGGTGGACATCTGGAGATGGGGCAGGTGGGGGCTTAGGAAACTGGGACTGCAGGAGCCCCTGTGCCCCTAGACCTTATATCTCCCTATATACCAGAAAGGGCTAGGAAGAGGGGCAAACTCCCTGTCTACAAGCCCTGGGGACCCCTTGCCAGTGACCTGAGGCCCGCTTTTCCTAGAGCCCTCCACTTCTGCCTTAGCACCTCCTGCCCTACCCTTGCCCCTATGCCCACCCCCACTGGTCACTTACTTGCAGGAGAGCTGGTTGATGCCTTCAATGTAGTAGCAGATGCCTCCATTGACACAATAGGACTTGGCTGTCTCGTTGCATTTCCGGGCGTGCCCCGACCAGGATGATAGGGTGGTGCTCACTGAGGGTATGAGAGACATGTGCCAGTGACCCACTGAGACCACCTCTGGGTCCCTCCTTCATGTCTTATCTCAAAACAGGAAGATCAGAGATGGCAGGAATGACCAAAGAGAGATGGTCTAGGGGTCACTCTTGCTCAACAAGGCAAATGGGGGGCCATCACAAGCTCTGTCTTGGGCCGGGGATTTAGCTCAGTGGTTCCGCTGCCTGCCGCACAAGAGCAAGGTCCAGAGTTCTAGCCCCAGTACCCCCCCAAAAAACAACCAAAAACAAGCTCTGTCTGCCCAGTGCAACCTGGCACCTATGCTGTGGGCAAACCTTCTGAAGGCCAGGAAGACTTTCATTTTTTTGAAGGGGATGAAAAGGTAGCAAAAACTGTTTCCTCTTTTGGAATAAAGGCCCTTTCCTTCCTGTCTTCCCCAGGCCTCCACTGCAGTTGGAGGAGGTGCTGCTGTCTAGTGTGGGGAACAGCGTAGGGAGGAGTCACTTATCTCTTGGACTGCTCAGGTTTTCACAGCAGACCAGGGGCAGCTGGAAGGGAGCAGCTGGAAGGGATCGGGACTGGCACTTGTGTACACTGACACTTTCTACTATCTGGAGAGATGTGGAGAACCGTAGCATCCACCCTCTTCCACCTTTCTTCTAGGGCTAGGCTGGAATGCTGCAAGGGTACCTATGCTCTGTCTCCAGAAGCATCCAGGGTATTCGCTCTGTCACCCAACACCAGGCAACTCCCTCCTCCCCATTTCATCGGCTTTTGCCTTTGGAGGGAGTCTCCAGGCCTTGGACAGCCCAGGTGATAAATCATGGGCTTCAGGTTGTTGGGAAGAGAAAGACTGTATGTTTGGGGGCAGTTAGGGTATGAAAACTAGATGACAGCAAGACTGGACACTATGCACAGCTGATTGACCAGATTCCTTTGAAACATGAAAATAATGAAAGCTCTGGTTCCCCATCCAGAAAGCTGATTTCAAGTGAAAATTCTTGCACCAAATGTCAGTTTTCATCTATAAGATAGATGCCCTCTGCTGTGTGTCCAGATTGGGTTGCTAGAAAGGGTTCCTACTTTCTCCTTGGCTCTCTAGGGCTCTGAAGGCCTCTCACTGCCAGCAGTGGCCTTCTTCCTGAAGTGGCCCATCCTACCTTGGCCCGCCCTATCTCCTCAGGGGTACTGAGTATCTGTCGTTCCCCTCAGTAATGGGGTGGAGGTGAGAGGAGGAGGACCAGGGCAGGCACTTGGCGCCCTCAGTGTTTAGACATGTAAGGAGACAGATGGTGTGGGGGACTGGGAGTGTATACACAGCTCTGGCTCTGTATATGTCTGAGGAGCTTGCTGATAAAACCCAGCGGGCAGGGTCTGCTCCCACCTTCCCCTGAACATCATGCCTGCTGCCGAGCTGGCATCATTGAGCTCCACCCCTGCAGAGGTCTCATCCAAGGCTCAACCACAAACCCAGCTGGGACCCACATGCTGGCTGGGGAGAGGAAGCTTCATGCTGATGTCTGCCCCACTTCCGGGTCAGTGAGACCCAGAAACTAAGAAAGGGATCGAGAAGAGAAACAACTGAGGTGACCGCGCCTGCAAGTTATAAAGTTCCATTGCTGCTGAGTGGGTCCTAGAGGTTGTCTTGCCCTTCAGTTATACTGCAAAGGAGGACTGAGGAAATAGAATGGCAAAGTGCCTGTCTGGAGTCACAGTGTGTGTTTTGACAAGGCTTCAGGGCTCCTGACATCTAGTTGTGCATTCTTATCAGCAGTCCAGTCCTTTGTGAAAGAACATGTCAACACCAAGGCCTGCCACGAGTACAGGAATGGCTACCAATATGGACCTCAGGCCTGGGGCCTCCTGTGGGCCTTGGGTAAGCCACAGTAATCTTGGCCCAGACTTGCCAGGCCTACCGTGGCTACCTCTGCAGCTGTGGGTGGCAGAGATTGCCTGCTGTTGTGCCTTCATTGTTATTCCACCCAAGCTGAGTGAGCAGTGGACAGGAATGTGATGCTGAACACTTGGGCTTGTTACACATACAAGTCTATGGCAATTGAGGCCTAGGGAGGCAGAGGACAACGGAGGAGGAAGGTGCCCTCCTATGGTAGCTGTGGTGCATTAAGCCAGGGTTGCCAAAACCACATTATCATGGGACAAGGGCCAGGGCCCCAGAAACACAAAAAGGGAATATAATGGGGGAGCTAGTTCCAGGAGGGGAAATAATGACCACAGGCCTCCCTGACCTCAGAAAAACCACTCTTCTATAGTGGCAGGGCTTTCCCAAGTCACTGCAGCCCAGCTCTGCTGGTGGTGAAGCTCCACGCCAGGGAGATTTGCACGCTGCAGAGGTGCGCACACTCTGTGGCCCTCTCATGCTGTCCTAGCACATGTGGGTTCTGTGCAGCAAGTCTGCACTCCCTGCCAGCACATCTGTACTTCTTCACTGTGTTTGGCTATGTTTGGAGAAGTGAAGCTGACACATGAATTCTAAGTGTGAGGGTCTGACTGTTCCCTTGACATCTCCACCCACCCAAACTCAGCATGTCCCAAGCCAGGGTCCTTGTCATCTGCCTCAACCATCTTCTTCTTTCTTTCTTTCTTTTTTTTTTTTTTGGTTAAATGGGAGTTTTATTTTTTGTTTTTTTTTCCAACCATCTTCTTCTCCAGTCTTTTCTATGTCTGTGACAAAATGGCCACAATTATGTCTTTTATTTCTCCTTTATTCCCTAAAGCCATCTAGCCCCAAAGATTGCCACTTCTATGTCCTCAAGAGGCTCAATTTCTGTCTCCCTGCTTCTTCTAGTCCAGGCCACCATATCTCTTCCTTCTCTGGTCTTCCTTGCCTTACTTCCTGCTCATCTTCATCTTGATCTTTTTGCTTGGCAGCTGCCACACTGGTCTTCAAACCATGTACATTGGCTTACTCCTTTCCCTGACCAAGGCTCTCCATTGGCTTCCCTTTGTACTCTCAGTAAATCCCCTGACTCCTCAGGTGGAATCTGAGCCTCACCACCTCCCTTGTGTCATCTCCTGTCCCTCTCTTTTAGTATGCCCCCACCACATGGGTCTCAGCCCAGCTCCTCTAATAAGCCAGGTGCCTCTTGCCCAGGATGTCCCAAATATCAGTGTCTCAGAGTGGCCTCTCCCAGAGTCTTGAGCTGTTCGTGCTTCTTTCCTATTCTTTAGTTAGCTACCTATATGTCTACTTGTAGTATTCATTCTAACCTAATTACATGAGCTATTATTAGCTCCTCCACTAGACCAAACATAAGATCCCTTTGGGCAGGACCACATCTGTCATACTTCACTTAAGCCCAGTGGCTAGCAGAGTGCCCAGAATATAATGGGTACTTAGCAAATGTTTACTGAATGCATGAATAAGCAAATACATATGATTCTTCAGAGAAAAGTGCTTTGTGCTGCCATCCTGGGGATAATTTGGTGTCCTTAGCTGATGATATCTTCTCTGTAGATTAAATCATTGTCTCCTATTAAATGAAAATATTTCTGGAAGATCATTGGGAAATGAATCAAAATCGCAATGAGGATGTGATTCATACCCACTAGCATGGATACAATAAAAAAATGGATAACAATGAATAGTGGTAAGGATGTGGAGGAACTGGAAGCCTTGAAGCATTGCAGGTAGTAATGTAAAATGGTGTAGCTGCTTTGGAAAATAGTCTCATAGTTCCTAGAAAAAAATTAAACCTAGAATTACCATGTGCTCCTGAAATTTCACCTCTAGGTATATCTCCCAAGAGATTGAAAAACCTATCTGTACACAACAAATTGTACATGAATGCCCACAGCAGCCTTATTCATAATAGCCAAGATGAGGAAACAATCCAAATGACCCAACCATCCAAACTGGTGAATGGGTAAATAAAATGTGGTAATTCACGCAGTGGAATATCACTTAGCCATAAAAAGAGCACCGATTCCTGTTACAATATGTCTGAATCTTAAAATTATGTTAAATAGAAGCCAAGTCACGAAAGGGCACATGTTGCATGAATCTATTTATATAAAATGTCTATAATAAGCAAGTCCACAGGGACAGAAATGAGATTAGTGGTTACCAGGGGCTGGAGGGAGAGAGGAATGGGGAGTGACTGCTAATGTGCATGGGTTTCTTTTTGGGGCGATGAAATGTCCTGGAATTAGGGGTGATGGGTATATAACTTGGTAACTATACTAAAAACTACTGGATTGTATATTTTAAAAGGGTAAACTTTATGGTATGTAAATTAACCTCAAAATTTAATTTTAAAAACGCTGGAAGGGGTAAACCCATAATATCATTATCAGCCATTAGTGTCTTGGTGTGAGTGGGCTAATCAGGGCACTTGAAGAGTAAGAAAGGAGGGCTAGGGATTTAACTCAGTGGTGTAGCACCTGCCTGGCAAGCGCAAAGTTCTGAGTTTAATCCCTGGTACCAAAAAAAAAAAGAGTAAGAAAGGACCAGGACAGGAGCTCAGAGCTGAGGCTGCCGAGCTGTCTCCTGCCCATGGCGGCGGTGGCTTTTCTCCCTTGTTACTGGTTAAAACTTCTGCTTTTCTTGTGAGGTCCAAATCCAGTGCCTCTTGATCCATCAACACTTCCTTTTTTTTTGAGGCAGGGTCTCACTATGTACTCTAGGCTGACCTTGAGGTCACTATGTAGCCTAGGCTGGCCTCAAACTCTCTGCGATCCTCCTGCCTCAGCCTTTCAAGTGCTGGGATTGTTGGTGTGCACCACTATACCTGGCTAACACTCCCTTCTTGTCTGTATGGCAGTCCTTTCCCCTTGGTACAGTCGTCAGTCCTTCCTCTTTAGCTGTTAGGGAAAACACAGCTGGCTTTAGCTTTCTGCTCAGACCTCTGAGCAGAGTCATGCTGAATGTGTGAGTGAGAGCGTGCCTGTGAATGTGTTCAAACAGCCAACCTTTTAAAGCTCCCAGCTAGCGGATGGGCCCAGAGGCCTCTCCAGGGTTTGCACAGTCCTGTGATAGCCCAGGTCAAATCTGCCCACCCTCTGGGCAGGCCTGATAACCTGCACTGGTAAATCACCTTAGGGCATTCCTGAGTTCCCATTCACCTGGGACAAGGTAGCTCAGAAATGAGTTGGGCCAATCTGAATGTTTTGTTAAAACTCCACAAACTTTCTGTGGACTCCTCCTCCTTCTCCAGCAGCTCAGGAAGGCAGGAAGTCTCCTGGGGGCCTGCAGAGGTGTGGCTGCGAGGAGGGCCTGCTCTGATCTGAGGAAGGAGCATCAGGCTCTGCCTGAAAGGGGCAGCAATCCTTCAAGAGCAGGAGCAATGCCCTTGAGCAGGCTGTGGCTCCTTGACACCCCACCCCTGTAGCTCTAGTTTCCCTGGGGCCTGGGAGGGCCATGCCAACCCACCTTGGGATGAGTCAGAGGGGCCAGGCACAGCTGCCCGCTGCCCGCTTTCCACCCCCTCCCCAGGGTGTGGTTGCTGCAGGTCTTCTGGGTTCTGTGGGTAAACAAGGAGGCCAGGCATCTCTGCGTGGGAAAACGTGCTGCTCCCCTGCAGTGCCCCTGTTCACCTCCCCACATCACAGTGGATGGTACAGAGTAGCAAAAGAGGTGTGTATTCTGTGTGTGTGCATGTGCACAAGCACGTGTATGTTGGTTAGGTACATAGGATGTCAGCCTCAACGTCAAACTCAGAATCTCAGAATTTTAGAGGGAAGAGGCTTAAAGATCAACTGCACAAGGGGAAAACCGAAGACTAGGGAGGTGGAGTCATCTGCTCAGGGTCACTTGATGCAGAGCTGGGATGAGACCAGATCTCTGAACTCTTGCCACTGCCCTGCTCTGCTGCCCTCCTGCCAGGCCACAGGAACAAACAGCAAGGAACCTTGTGGGCAGCTGGGATTCCACATTTGCCCTTAGTGCCCAGCCCAAAGGGCCTACTATCTGGTTTCCAAACTGATAAGAGCATGGCCTGGTGCAAGCTGAAGGAGCCGGGCATGGGCTGGGATTGCAGCCCATCTGGGGCCTCACAAGCTGCCTGGACCTCCTCAGGACCCAGGCTCTGGGCAGCAGAGAGGGCATAGCTGTGGGTTTCTCTCCCTCTTTCTCTGTGAACAGCAGTTCTCGAGGGAATGCTTCTCCACACAGTTCTGGCAGGCTCATCGCTTGAGGCACTCTGCCTCTTCACGGCCCCTCTGCACACACTCACAGGCTTGGCACCTCCCTCCTGAGCACAGAGATAGGACCAAGTGGGCATGTGGCCTCAGCAGGGCAGATCAGAATCCATCCCTGTGACTGTATGTGTGGACACAGAGATGAGGTGGTGGGCTCCTCTTCCTACTCCATGCTCCCAGCATGAGAGAAGCTGTTTCATAGTAGGAAAGAATGAGGCCAACACACAGCAAGAGAAAGTGTCCTGACCCAACCTCTCTGTTCTTAGACTCTCTCGTGTTTGGGGCCAGTTTGACGTCTTGATCTCCCAGTTTCATAAGCCAATAAATACATTCATTAAGGTAGGTTTAAGATGGGTTCTTGTTGGTTCTAACCAAGAAAGTCTTAATTAAAAAACAGAAAACCCTAAATCTAAGGTAGATCTGAGAATGTCTGACTACTCTGATGAGCAGTACTAGGCCCCAGGTACAGCCCACTTTCTCCGGCTTAGGACAGGTTGAGAGAAGCGGGGATCCAGGGACCTCCATTGCTACCATGCCTAGGCTGGGACATGGAAGAGACAGTAAATAAAGGCTTTGGAGCAGGTTTTATGTTCTTTAGTATAACATTTACCAATTCCTACTGTAAGCTAGGCACTGAGGTCAGAACGGTAACCAGTTTAGATATAACCCATGGAGCTCCAAGGCTAAGTCTGCCAATGATTTTTATATTGAATAGCTCTTTTGGGCAAAATATTTAACCTCTCTGAGTTACCCATAATGTATAAGATATATCCTGGGCCTGAGATCAGGGTTCAAGAGATTATGCAAAGCCTGGCTCAATACGGAGTACCTATCGTGGAAACTTTCAGGAGACAAGCATCATCCCTGGTCTCTCCACTCCTGTGGCTCACCTCTACAGAGAAAGGTCAGTAACAATATGACAGTCGGGAGTGACCAAGAGATGACACCAGGCCAGTTGGGACAAGACTTGAACTGAGAGTGACACTGCAGTGGGCTGGAGTGGTCAAGGAGGAAGGCTTCCTGGAGAGATGGCATAGGAGAAAGAATAAGGATGGGACATAAGGGGAGTGACTGTGGTTTGGGCCAGAATGGTAAGAATGAAGTCCTTGTCTTGTAGCTCCACGGGGTGGGGACGTGATTGGATGAGTTCGCTTCACAAGGCCAAGCAATGCTCTGAAGCTGGTGAGTGGGGAGAAACCTGAGCAGGGTTGCTCTTCAGGTGGGGCTGGAATGGAAGGGATAGGAGTGAGAAGGATCCAGAAAGGATCCCAGGGCATGGGCACTCAGATTTCTTAGACATAATAGCAAAGGAGAACAAAGAGCCCAAGAAGCTGGGAGAACAGGGGGATCCCTTATCGATAAAGGACAAATACGGTCTGAGCGAGCTTTTCCTCTAAGGATCATGGGACAGGAAATATTTAAGTTATTTTTTAGACAATGCTGGGTTTGTGGAGTATTGGAAGGCTGTCTACTGGAAATATATGCAGATGATCACAGATACAAGATTAGATTTTGTGACGGGGCAGGACTGAAAAGTGAACCCCAACAGACGGGTATCTAGGTGGTATGCTCAATCTGGGTTCTGGGAGGACAGTGATTTGTAGGGCTTGGACTACTGGGGCTACAGTGGAGGGGCACTGCCTGAGGACTTGCAGCTTTGGCAGAAAGGAGAGGTGACTTTTCTGTCAAGGGAAGAACTAGGGCCTGAGAGAAGAGCCCAGTAGGAAGGTAGCCCCTGATCTGAAGCTGGAGATCACTATAGAGAAAAGAAGCTAAGGGTTGCTGCAAGGTACCCATCTTTGCAGGTCTTCAAGGAGACAGCATGGCCCATGGGGAGGATCTGCTATCCCTGAATGGAGGCTGTTCTGAGGGGTCCCAGGCAGCCAAGCCTCCAGCCCCATGGCCCTGTGGAGACGACTGGTTGCCTCAGGTGCCCAACTGAGCAGCCGGCAACAGGCAGGCAGCTTGCACAGCCCTGGGCCTGCCTCTCCCCCAGCCCCGCTCCTGGCAACCCAACCTCCCATAATTGCCTTCTAAAAATATCCTTCTCTCCACCCCCACCTCTTGATTTCAAAATATTTAGTTTTCAGGGTATTTAAAATGAGAGCTGGCGGCTCTTCCAGGCCCAGATAACAAAGCTAAACATTTATGCTTCGACTGCATTTCTCTGAATCGACTGAGATCTCAGGCTAGATATGGCAGCAGCAGGAGGGAGGGGAGTTGAGTGCAAGACAGATCATGTGTGGGCCTCCCCAGGGCTGGGGGACAACTGGCCCAACCTGCCAAACCCCTCCAGGACCCTTCCCCACCTTGAAGGCCACCTACCGCTATTGACGTGGAGCCGGCCACGGACAGTGTCCTTCCCCAGGATGTTCTCGGCCTCACAGACGTACTCCCCAGCATCCTCCACCTTCACCTTGTTGAATTGAAGTCGTGAGTTCTTTCTGGTTAGAGAGGGAAAAGGGGAGGTACAGGCATGAGCTATAGCCACCGTGGCTCCCCCATGGTCACCTGGTGGTCACCTTTCCCCACAGTGCCACAATGGCTGTGCAGGTTGGGTGGGAAGTAGGTCATTCAGACCTGTCTTTTCTGGGGTCCAGGAGGAATGTTGAACCCCAGAGTTGGAGGGAGAACTGGGCCCTCAGGACAACTCAGGGTGAGGCCAGTGGCTACATACTTTTATAAATCTAGGAATTCTTATATCAATTCCTAGGGCTAGGATTTCTTTGTATCACTTTTCTTGAGGGAGGAAAGCCAAGCTCCTTAGGAATTCACATGGCCATGTCCCTCATTTCTAAGCCTCAGCCTTCTTTAGAAGTGGCAGCTTGTCACTGTGGATATGTAGGGTCTGTTCCCAGGACCATGGTTTGAATATGTCCCCAAAGATCATTGTTCCCCAATGCAATGGTGTTGGGAGGGGGCCCTAATGGGAGATGTCATGAATGGATGAATGCGTTTGCTATAAGAATGAGTTTGGCTTCACCATTCATTCTCTTTTACCATGTGATGCCTTCTTTCATGTTATGGTGCAGCAAGAAGGCCCTCATCAGATGCAGGCCCTTGATTGTGGACTTCCTAGCCTCTGATACTGAGCCTAATACACTTTCCATGTTTACAAATTGCCTACTCTGTAGTACCCTATTGTAGCAGCAGAGTGGACTCAGATACCCAGGTACCTGGGAGAGTCACAGTTCTGACAGGTTCAGGTGGCAACTTGGCCTAGATCTCAACTTGTTGCTCTCCTCTCCCTTCTGGCAGACCTGTCACTAAGGGAGTACCGTGTGGCCTTCTGGGTGCTGGGAGCTTGCATACCTAATGGAACAAAAAGATCCTGGACTTGGTCCTCAGGGCCAGCCTAGGTGTCCTTTTCTTTATAAATAGAAAAGCTGATTAATAGAGGGTTTCCTGACTTGCCTAAGAACACTCAGCAAGGTAACAGGAAGGACTAGGAGTTACAACTGGTGAGGATGTGAGCTATCTCTGGGCATCTGAGGCTGGGGCTAGCTCCCTCTTCATCCAGTCCCTGCATGCTGAGAACTGTGGGACCAGGCCCAGCAGGCTCCCCTGGCACTGTAACTCCATGATACCCAGGGCTGGTTCTCCTTTTCTTTCTGAAGTATTGGTCCAAACTTTCCTTTCTTCTCAGAGCTTTCCTGTACCTACCCCAGGGTGCATGGGCTCTGCAGCTCTTACCCCTCCTGCCCTAGTGGTCTCTGGGGACAAGCAAGAGCCCACGACCCCAGTCTGGCCCCCAGAGTTAAGCAAGAAGTAGCATGAAAGTGTTTTTGTACGGTGTAAACATTCACCCCTTTATTTTTTGGTGGTACTGGGGCTTGAACCCAGGTCCTTGCATGTGCTAGCTAAGTGTTCTGCCACTGAACCACATCCCCAGCCCTAACCTCCTCATTATGGATGAATTAAAAAACCAGATTTTCAGAGTGTGCGTGGTGGGTCAGAGGGGTTGTGGAACACAGGATAGGGTACAGGAGGGCTGTCACTGCTCTGAGCCCAGGGATGGAAAATGGAGCCATGATGCTGTTGCGGTAAGGAGGAGGGGAGAGGTGGGCAGAGGCTGGGCCAGGGTTGAGGAGATGCAAATGGGCCCACAATCCCTACTCTGGCCTATGCTTCTGGGACTTCTCCCCTGGGCCTGGCCTCTGCCTCTAGAGGTGGGCTTCTTCCCTGACATCCTCACCCTGAGACCTCCAAATAAAGGTGCTGTAATGTTCTCAACAGACCCCACTTGTGATTTCCTTGTAAGGGTGACAGCTGCTTAACTACACCCTGCCTATCCTGGAATAAGCCAGTCTTGGTCTCCTGGCCTGGTGGCTGCCCACTACCCTCTTCTGTCCATTAAAGTCTGGTGCCTCATTAAGTGGATCCCTGGAGGCCCCTCTGACCAAGACTGTATCTCCTTCCCTGCTACAGCCTAATTAGATGCCACAAAGCCCAGCTTCCCCAGGACAAAGCTTCTCTCACTTCTTTGCATACTGGATGAGTACGACAGGGGATCATGCGAGGGTCACAGGGTTGATGTCTAGGGGACTCAGAGCCACACCCTCCCTGTCACCCACAGCTGCATTCATGGGACTTTCAGGACAAGGTGGAGAGGGGCTCATGGGGTATTTGCAAGGGGAAGCTGGACCTTTGAGGAAGGGCTCCCTTGTATGCATGAGCTGTGACAAGGAAGCCAGGAGCTCCATGAGAGCCTCTCCCTGTGGAGGAATAAGGAGGGGCCACAGGGACCTCCAGGTTTGCTAGTTGTGGGCTCCAGAGAAGGAGAGGCTCAGGGGTAGAGCTGATGAGGGGGCTCTGTGAGCCTCTCACATCACGGAGTTGCTGGGCCCACTGCATTCTCTCCTCACTCCTGGTTCCAGCTGGAATCCCCAAGGACTGGGCTCTCTCCCATCTTCCTGGCAGGTGGGATGCTGTTCCCAGTGCCCGATCAATGTGCTGACCCAGGTCTACCCCTGCTCAGGGTGCCTGTCCCCACCCTCCCCAGCCAGTTCTCTGCTGCCAGGGACAGATCTGGGCGGCCTCACATTTTCCCCTGCACCTCCCTCCCCTGCCTGCGGGGCGAGTTCCAGCCTGCCCCTCATAAATAAGGGCACATGCAGTTCTGTAGGGGAAGGCCCTGTGCCCAGGGATTGGGGGGCAGTTTTCTCCTGGCACAGGAAGGCCTGGTGAGACTCCACATTTGGCGGGCACAGAGACAGACAGCACCAGCTGGGGAGAGGGGCTCTGCAGGCCAGCAGAGATGCCAAGACCAAGCAGCCTGGGCAGGTGGAGCACCAGGAAGGCTGTGGAGACAGCTGCAGGGCAGTCAGGAAGGACAGAGAAGTTTGCCAGAAAGGAGACTCCTGCCCCTGCCTCTGGCCTCTGTACCAGGTGAGATGTGTAGAGTATGTGTGTGGAGGGGTAGTGTGTGGGGGTGGCAGATCTCTCAGAGTCACACTGAGGAGACCTTGGTCACAAAGAATCAGAAGTTTCAGGGCTGGGGATTTAGCTCAGTGGTGCTGCTGCCTGCCTTACAAGCGCAAGGTCCTGAGTTCAATCCCCGGTACCAAAAAATAAAAAGTTTCCCATCACAGCCTAAGCTTCCACCACAGGAGAGCAGGCATGCAGCACATAGGCAGGGCCTTGACATGTAGGGGCCAGGGGCATGATTCAGATCTGGGTCCACTGTACCCAGGGCAAGTTTTGACCAGGTCCCGGGTCTGGACAGGGTCACCCATTTGTCAGATGAAACTGAGGCTTAAGCAGGAAGTGACTTGTTCAGAAGGCTACACAATCCAAAGGGGATCCTGGCCAGCCTGGAGGGATCTTGCCCCCAGAAGAGGAGGGCCAGTCCTGTGAGAATTTCCCCAGTTCAACACTCGCTAGGCCTATAGGGGAGAAGGAGGTGCTAGTCTTTGAGACTCTCTCATGTTAGAAGGAATAACATCCCTCAATCCAATAAAGCCATGTCTAAGGGACTATCAGAGGAGACTAGTGCTGCCTAGAGTGCTTGGGCAGGTGTTCCCAAGACATGACATTTAAGGTGGACCTTCGAGAACTTTGGCAGAAACAGGGGAGACACCTGGCCCAAGTCCAGAGTCATGAAAGCAAAGACTCTGCTGGGTGTGCAGCAGGGTCGAAGAACAGCAGGGTAGTTACATGCATGCCAGGAAGAGTCAGAAGAGCCCCAAGATTGTGCCCAGTGTAATGCAGACTCTCTAGACCTGCCAAATAATGACCCTGCATAAGTGTCCTTGTTAGAAAGATCAAGCCCTGTAGGCACTCACAGAGCCTGGCGCATAGCTGATAGTCAATAATATATATCAGATACAGCAATGAATTAACAGAGGACCCACACCCAGAAATGTGGAGAGTCCTCAAGTGTGGGGCAGTGGAGATAAGAGCCAAAGGCAGGGAGGCCAGGTGAACAGCATGCAGGGTGGGGAGAAGGGCATCTCCCACCAGAGGGGTGGTGTCCGACTGAGGGATGGTGAGGGGCCAGGAGCTGGGCAGTAGGGGGCTAGAGTGCAGCTGAGAGGGGGCACAGGAGGACTAACTAGGGCAGGCAGAGAAGCTGGCAGGGGTGTTCTGAGTCAGAAATGCCTGTGGGGTCTTAGGGTGGTGTCTGGCAAAAAAGCCATCAAGTCTGGAGATGGAGCCTCTTGTCTTAGATATTTACAGCCACAGGGGAGGATAAAATCACCCACAGTTGGAGAGGGAGGGAGGCAGGCAGCCCAAAGCAGGGACAGGCCAGCACTGGTAGTGTCTGAGAGAGTGATCGGACACAGAAGGGCTGGGGGAAGCCCTCAAGGGCAAGGGAACAGGTGGCCCCACACCAACCTCTGTTTAGGGGCCTGGAGACCTAGCGCCAGGGAGTCCAGAGATTGCTGGAGTTCTCCAGAGACACAGCCATGGTAAGGCTGGGGATGTACTGAAAAGGCAGATTTGGGCAGGGCAGTGTGGGTGGAGGACAAGGGAGTGTGGAGCTAGCGGGCAAGAGACAAACTCCTGGAGGGTAAAGGGAGGGAAGGCGGGAGATGTGGTAACAGCTGGAGGAGGACAAGGAAGCAGCAACCTAGAGGGTTAGCACTTCAGAAGTGAAGTGACAGGAGTGTGTGCTGGGAGGGACAAGAGCTGAAGCTACCTGAAGGAGGGAGTTGTTAGTGCCAGGGCTCTGGGGGTGCTGCGTGTGTGTGTGTGTGTGTGTGTGTGTGTGCACTCACGTCTGTGGGGGAATGCAGGGCAAGTGTGGTGCAGGGACTGTGGGATGGGCATGGATGGTTGGGGGATGTGCTCAGCAGTAATGTGCAGGGCAAGAAGGAGCACTCTCCCCTGACTTCCTCATCTCAAGGAAGCAGTGAGGGGCCATCTAGACAGAAGATGCAGGGATGGGAGGGGCAGAAGCCCCTCTCCCAGGTCCAGCTCTAAGAAGCCTGTCCACCCTTCTCCCTGGCTGGGGCCGTCTTCACAGGGTGGAAGGAAGGGGCAGGTAGCTTCAGGTGGCTGGGTAGGTGCCCTGCATTTCTTGCCAACATGGTAGAACTGAGGACACACAGGAATGTCCCCCACCTCTAGTCTCCACTAGCTACTGAAATTTTTTTCTCTCTTCTTTTCTCTACTCTTCTCTTCTATGGTACTGGAGATTGAATTCAGGGTCTTTGCATTGAGCTATATCTCCAGCCTTTAATTTTTTTTTTTTAAATTTTGAGACAGGATCTCATTGTCACTAAGTTGCCTAGGCTGAGGTCAGCCTTGGAATCCTTTTGCCTCAGCTTCCCTGAGTGCTGGTATCACAGCTTTGTGCCACAGTGCCTGGCTTGTCACTACGATTGTCTTAGGATGTGCCCTTCTTTCAGCCACAAAACCTTTGATCTAAACCAAACCTTTGATTTAAACCAAACCTTTCTTAAATTACTTTCTGTTTCTGCCTGAGCCACTTTCTGGGGTGAATAGTTCTGTCTTTGTCCCCACTCTTGGAAAGAGAACCAGATACAGGAGGGTCAGAGGATGTTCCTTGACCCCCACTTCCTTTTTCATGGGTTCCTGACAAGTGGGCCCAGAGGCAGGACATGTGCAGCAGGCTACACAGAAAGCCAAGTGCCACCTGAGATGGGGTTTTCTTTTCATTGCTTTCTGTTATGGGCAGATTGGACATTCTCTAAAATTATCTTCATTTGCATTTTGTGGGGTGGGATGAGGAGGAAGATGACAACCTGGAAGGGAGTGGCTGCAAGCTACTCTGGGGTGGGGGGTGGAAAAGGCCAGGGTGTCCCTCAGTCAGAAAGGGACGTCCACCCAGTCCCCAGGGCAGACATGCTTAGGTAGAACATCTGTTTAGCCAGCAGCACGAGATGGGGGGCTGCTCTTGGACTTCAGGATTCCCTGGTGCCCGAAGCCCCTGTCCTGACCAATCCAAGAGGGATGACAGGCCACCTTTCACAGCATGGAGGCTTGGGAAGCTTCTGAGTCATCCATTAGAGCGCTGAGTCAAGATTAAGACAATTCTCATGCCAGGGGGAACTGTTGGAGATACAGACTCCTCTAATGCTAGTCAAAACCCATTTTCTCTTTCCCCTTAGCACACTCTCTGACAAGTGGCAGCTTGCTAAGCTGAGAAACCATCCCATTATCCTGTGTGACCTCCCTGCTTTCTGCAGGGTCTTTCACCTAACAATTTCCAGATTCAGGGGCTTTCAGACACTGTGCTTGGTCTTCTGCAAAGAAGTTTTAGGGATAAGCAAGGACTTTCGCTGGTAAAGTTGATCTTGACAGACAAGATGCCTCCAGTCACCCAGAGACCTTAACTGCTTAATTCTTGTCTTCAGTCTGCTGTTCAAGAGGGGTAGGGGTGCCTAGGAAGGGGACAATGCAGCGGGGCTGGGACTCCATCCACACTGGCTCTGGGCTCAGCCCTGAGCTCTGCCAGCTTGGGCCCTTGCTTCTCAGAAGGGAGGGCAGCTGTGGGATGGAGGTTGGGGTGGACGCTGCTTACCTGCTGTTGCCATACTTGATGCGAATGTCACGGCTGCGGTTGAGCTCCTTGCCATCCTTGAACCAGCGGTAGGAGGGCTGGGGGTTCCCAGCTGCTGCCTCGCACTTCAGCGACTGCTTCTCCCCGACCTGTCCTGTTTGGCTTTTCATCTTCTTCAACTTAGGCCGGGTGGCTGTGGAGAACAAGGCAAATAGGTGAGTGTGGTGGTGGTGGTGAGGGCAGCACAAAGCATGAACACATAGGGGCTGGGATTGGAGAGGGAGGGTGAGGCCAGAAGCCGCCCCTCCTGCTATCATTTCTTAGTTCAACTCAACCAACACTTATGGAACCTACAGTGAGACAAATGTGCTGCTACTTACGGAGTGTCCTTTGTGCCTAGAGTGTACTGAGGGCTGTATTTTAGCTTATAAAGCCATCACAATAACTCCATGAGTCCAATGCAGTGTTTAAACCCATTTAAAGGTAAACAAACTGAGGCTCAGAAGACTTCCCTAAGGGAGGGTGATGGAACAGGTTCAAATCCAGATCATGACCCCAGTGCTCATGATCTAACTCCTGTTCCAAACCCTCAAATGTGTGCTGGATCAGAGGACACAGGCAGACCAAGATGACAGGCTTGACTAGCACACCTACAAAGCCCAGCCTAGTAGGGGAGGTGTGACCTGTCACTGCTGTCACAGCATACCTCATGAAGACCTGGGGACAGTGGAACCCGGAGAAGCCACCCTAGCCCTGGCGATGGGGCTCACTTAGCTAAAGGCTAAAGGACAGGTCTAGAAAAAGAGGGGAATGTGAGACAGGCAGAAGGAGCACTGTGGCTTGGGGAGTCACATGTGGTCCGGGGGCCGGGCAGACAAATGTGTGAGGCAGTCTGACTGTGAAGGGCCACAAGCCCTCAGTTGTGCTTCTGGACCCAGACCTGGTCATTGATGCAAAGCTGAGAGTTTCCCCCATTTTTCCTAAACACTAATCTGTTTTCATGCTTCATCCCCTTGCTCCTTTCCCTACCACCTAAAAAAACCCCAGAAGAACGTCTCCTGTTCTCAGGAAGGCGGGGGCAAGCCAGTGTGGGGTACATCATGACTTCCATTGGTACAGCTCTTTACACTAGGGTAGAGGGGGTATGGGTACACAGGACATGTGACACTTTCATGCACACCTCATTTGGTCCCTGAGCTCTTTGAGACAAGTGTCATAGTGACACTTATGGTGAGGATGAGACTTAGCGGTTCAGAAACTTGACAGAAGCTATAGGCAGCCAGAGGCTGGAACAAAGCCCAGAGGCTTGAATTTGCAATGTTTCAGGCTGGTAGCAGGCCGGAGTCTGCTTTTGCAGTCTTGTCTCTTTTTGAGAGTTGGAGACCTTGATTCAGCTCCTTCCCGTAGCAGAAGGGAGGGTCAGTGGGGGCTGATTGGCCTGTCTAGGACACTGATCTTGGCTCGGGTAGCTCAGAGCTTTAACAGTGGCCAGAGCTGGCTCTAGAGAGGGTCTGGCTAGAGATAAGGGTCCCCCCGCCCCCGGACTCAGTTGTGACTCACTGCTTGTAAGGAGTCGGTGAGTGAGAAGTGCAGGGAAGAAAAGGAACTCAGGGAGAAAACCTTGAACAATGTGTTACAAGGGCTTAAGCAATGATTTTTTGTGGAATAATTTTGTTCATTTTAGAAAATCAAAAAGTACAGATGGGTGAAAAGAAGTAAACAAAATCATCTATTATGTCAAAACTCAGAAACAACACCCCCAACACACCATTTTTAAACCAAATGGGATCAGGGCCAGTAGCATGTTTCTCTCATTTAATGAAAGAATGCACTTTCATTTTGGTAGTAAACATTAATAATAGCACTTCCTAAACTGAATTCTATAAGACACAAGTATCTGAAGAGGTGAAATAGATATTACCTGAAAAAACGTTTCCCTTAGGAAAGAAATTGGGTTGGGAAATATGTAGGTATGCACAGTATCTTCATTAACTTTAGTACGATTGAAGTAAGAGCCTTGAAACATTTTTTCTTGGAACACTTAGTAGCATTTCAAGAAAATAAGTGGAACATATTCTATCACATAACTAACAGGTGTATTTTTTTTTTGGTACTGAGGATTGAACTCAGGACCTTGTGCTTTCGAGGCAGGCGTGGTGCCACTGAGCTAATCCCGTGGTGTATATTTTTGTAGATATATACTTTGGGCTTTTGGTGGAACTGAAGCCTTCATACTGAGCTACCTCTCCAATCCTTTTTCAATTTTAAAATTTTGAGACAGGCTCTTGCTAAGTTGCTAAGTTTCCCATGTTGGGCTCCAATTGGCTATCCTCCTGCCTCAGCCTCACAGAAATCTGGAATTATGGGTGTGTGCCACCACACCTGGCTTATACATACGTGTTTGAATAGATAATATATTCATATGATTCAACATTTAAGAAGTGGGAAAGGTTATATGAGTATATAAAACAAACTAATTTTTCTGGGGGTAGCGCTGGGGATGGAGCCCAGGGTCTCAAGTATGCCAGGCAAATGTTGTACCACTCAGTTCAGCCCTCTCTCTCATTTCTGAACATGGCCATTCAGTTGCCTTTCCAGGTGATCAATTTTATCAGTTCTTTTGACATGCATTCAAAGATCTATGCATATAAAAAACCCCTGGCATTTCCACACATATTTTTCCATGGAATCATTTTTCATCCTTATGCAGTACTCTTCCCCGGGTGCATCTGATTTATGTAACTGATTGTTATTGTGAAGCATTCAGCACATCCCCTGCCTGCCCATCACTAATGTCCCGGGACATCTGTGCAGCTTTTGTTTGTGAACGAAAGGTGTTCACTGCTGTGAGAGCAGTGACTATGTTCGAATCCAAGCTTTGCAGCTTGTTAGCTTTGTGTCCTCATGGCACTGACTTCATTCTTTTGCGCTTCAGTTCCTCACCTGTAAGATACAGGTGATAAATAGTGGCTCCTGATGATGGCTGTGAGGATTATATGAGATAATGGATGTAGAGCTTGGCACACAGAGGGCAGTTAACAAAGGTTAGCTGCTCTTATTATTATTATTATTACCAATAATCCTATCCTAGATGCTCTTCCTCAAAGCGGAACTGCTGTGTCAAAGGGTAAGCAAGCTTCCTCAGCTTTGGCACCAGCCAAATTGCCCTTTGGAAATGGTGCACTAATTTGCACGCCCTTGTGAATGATGGTGCCTGTTTTGTCCACAGCCTCACCCTCACTAGGTGTTATCGTGTCTCCAATCTCTGCCAATTAGCTAGGCAAAAGATAACGCCTCTCTGTTGTTGTAATTTGCATTTATTTGATTACTGATGAGGCTGAACATCTTTTCTAAATATATTGGCCCATTGTATTTCTTCCTTTGGAACTGCCTGTTCATGTCTACAGCCTGTTTTTCTACTGAGTGCTCCTCATCTTTTTTATTGGTTTGTAAGAGCTCTTTAGAAATATTAAGGCCATTAACCTTTCTCTACAATGTTTTTTCTAAGTTACCTGCTTTCACATTTTGAAATGCTATTTCTTCCTCTCTCTTCTCACCTAAAGGTTTTATGCGCATCAATCTACAATTTGTTAGACCTTTGAGAACGTCATCATTCTAAGCATGATTAGAGTCCTGCCTCAGCATCCTTCCTTGACTTGCACCCCAGCCTCCTGTGTCTGCTCTGGAATCCCCCAATTCATGCCTTTACCATGGTTCTTAACCCTGGATGCTAATGAGAATCATGTGGAAATTTTAACACTTTGGTGGTGCTGGGAGCATGGGCTGGGCATTCTGAAGCCAAACCCATGACGGTGGTCCAGTCCTGTGGTATAAAGTCTCTCTAGTCCTGTGGTATAAAGTCTCTCCAGGTATCTTTCTCCAGGAAAGCGAACATGTTTAAGTGTACAGCTGGTTACAGACAGACACATCTGCATGTGCAGCTGGCTTTGGTCAAAGGTTCAGTTTATACTTATTGATTTAACCACTTGGGCTAGTGGTGGCCTCCAGCTAGTGCCCTTCTCCCTTTTGTGAACCAGGGGCCCAGAGAGCTCTTCTCAGGCTCTAAAGTACCCCTATCCCCCAGTGGAATGCGTGGAACTTTCCCACAGTTCTGACACAGGGGACCCCCACCGCCCCACCACATGGGCTACCTTGCTCCCAGGGGAGGACTGGAGGTGATGCCTGATGGGACAAATCTATGCTCACCCATCTACCTTGTTCCTTTCTTTTTTTTTTTTTTGTACTGGGGATCGAACTCAGGTCCTTGCACATGTGTAGCAGGCGGCGAAACCACTGAGCTAAATCCCTGGCCTCTACCTTGTTCCTGACATGAGCTGGATGCAAGAACATGCACTGCGCAGTTGATGGCCACTGGTTAACGGTGGTGGTGGGCTAGGGGTGTAGCACATAGAGACAGACTGCAGGCATGACCCTCATTCTGGGGCCCAAGGAACTGGAGGCTCCAAAGTCATTCCCTGCCCCCAGGAAGAACACAGGATTGCATTTCAGATCCTAAGGAGCCCATTCCATTAAGGACTCTGTGTGACTCTGTAGCTACTTCTCATGGTCCACTCACTTTAGAACAACCAGTATAGTCACTTGTTTTCATCCATCCATCCATCCATCTATCCATTCATTTAATTCCTTTTCAATGAATCAGTAATTGAATTGAATGCATTCCACTTAGTATATGCCAGGCACTGTTCTAAGTGCTGAGTGTAGAGTAGTGAACAAGCATCCTTCTCTTAGGGAGCCTGACTTTCAGTGAGGGGCATGGACAATCAGCAAGTAATCATCGGGAAAGACAAGACAGTGATAATCAGCTGGATAAAGGCCCTAAGGTGGGCATTAGCTTGGTGAGTTCACAGGCCTAAAAGATGCCTAGATGTCTGGGAAGAGAGTGAAAGATGGAGGTGACTTGAGGAGAGCTTGCAGAAGCAGGCAAAACCCAGGTGACATAGGGCTGTGTGAACCAGAACAAGAAGTCAGATTTGCTCATCTTTATTTTAACTTTTTATGTGCCTACTAGAAAATTTTAAGTTACACATGTGTATGGTATTTTATTTATATTGGACAGTGCTGGTCTAAAGAATGACAAAATAAAGATAAATATGCCATATTCTTTACAAATCATGCCATATTCTTTACAGAGAGTGTTCTAGCTCTTACTGGTTCCTCATAAGAATCATCTGA